GGGCAGAGGACCAGCAGGTAGGCAGCATATCTATGTCCATTAAGAGGCAGTGTTCAATTGGGTGTGGTATATGCCAGTGATCCTTGCACTTGGAACCTGGAGGCAGGAAGATCAGGAGTTCAAGGTCATCCTCTGCTACATAGCAAGTTGAAGGCCAGCTTGAGATACACCAGATATAAGACCTTCTGTCAAAAAAAAAAAAAATGTCCAGCCAACAAATTCTAAGTTTAACTTGTTTTTTTCTTGCCAATGTCAGAGCCATCCAGACAGGCTAGGTTATACTGAGTAATAAGTAATCTCTAACCCTCCCAGGTTAAAACCACAAAGGTTTATCTGTCCACACCCTGTCTGTTGACATTGATCAGCATGGCTCGTTCCACAGCTGAAATCTCCCAAGTTTCTTTTGCTCTGAGACCTAGGCACTGACTGGAATGCTTCATTTAGATGCTGGGCCAGCAATACTGAGGGCTCTGATAAGTGTCCTGTCAGTTACTACCAACTGGAGATCCACAGGCTTAGAGATTCACATACTGCTTCCCAGCTCACTGCCACCCCAGGGGTTTAAGAAGGATACCCAGTCATGTGCCTGAGAGGCAGTAAGCTAGGATCATTTGAGATGACCATCCTAGTCTCCAAGGACTTGAAAACTCACAAACTTCCCTTTCTGTCCATGTGGCTTGCTAGTCTGGTTTGAATTAGTTGTGATTCATGAATTTTGATTTTACCAAATTCAAAAACAATAGAGAGAAGAAAAGTTGTATTAACTTGAACAGCAAATATTAGCTTAGGGAAAAAGGATGCAAATTGCAGATGATTCTTATCTGCTTAACAATTCCTTAATTTCTCTTTTCTCTCCTCCTCCTCCTTCTCCTCCTCTTCTGTTTTTTTGAGACAGAGTCTCACTCTGTAGCTCTGACTGGCCTTGAACTCTCTCAAGTCGCCCACCTCCACCTCTAGTGTTGGGATTACAGGCATGAACCATCTTGTACCACATCTGGCTCTGATGCTATAACATTTCTTTACTTCACTGAAAAGGAGGAAGAATGCATTCATTCAATGTTACCCTGTAATCTTATACTCTTGTTTGAGTGTCCAGTAACAAAAGAGAACCAAAACAGACATTTCAAGCTTCTCAGTAGAGCATGCTTGTATTCCAAGCTACTTGGGAGACTGAGGTTGGAGGATCACTTGAACACAGGCATTTGAGGTCAGCCTGGGCAACATGTGATACCCTGCCTAAAAAATAAGGCCAGATATGGTGGCACACACTTGTAGTCCCAGCACTTGGGAGGTAGAAACAGGAGGACCAATAAGGATTTCGATCTCCCTTGCTTACATGGTAAGAAGTTCAAGGCCAGCCTGGGCTATGTGAGACCCTGTTTTGTTTTTAGTGTTTCAATCTATTTGTAAATACGCATCATGGAGTCTGGTTGCTTACTGGGAACCCACAGGGCCCATCTCTTTTCTTTTTTTTTTTTTTTTTTTCCCCCATCGCTTTTCTTAAATGTTTGTTCAGGATTATCCCGTGATAACTTTACCCCAGAGAATTACTATTCCTGTTTAACAAAGGAGAAAACCAACATCCTGGGAAGTTAAGTAACTTGGCCAAAGTCGCACAACCAGAAAACCCCTTGTTATATTGTGCTCTGTATTACTAGAAAACAAGCTGTGGCAAATAGATCTGTTCTGCCCTCTAGGGGTAGCAGGAGTCCCCTGAAGTCAGGGAAGGCCATCTGCTCTGGAATTCTCCTGGCCTCAAAGGCAACATGGACTGTACTATAATCTTTTGAGATTTCAGGTCCGTCAGGGTTCCAGACACTGAACTCGGCTGCTGGCTCAGGCAAGCCAGCCTGTGCGTGGCCTTGCTTCAAGGGCCTGTAGCTGAGTCATTATTTACTGAGCACATGTGCATGGACCCTGGAAGTCCCTGAGGTCTTGTCTACACGCAAAGCATGCTCACACACTATGCATACACACACACACACACACACACACACACACACATGAGAGAGAGAGAGAGAGAGAGAGAGAGAGAGAGAGAGAGAGTCCCAGGTATCTATTATTCACCAAAGCTGGAAATTCCCAGCCACTCATTTCTGTGTTTTTATGTCTTGCCTCTTGCCTCACCCTTCTAGGGAAAGTACAGAGGACACAGAGAGGGAAGGGGAGCTGGGAGTAAAGGGTTTGGAAGGTGGGAAGACTGAGGGCAGCTCCTGCCTAGGGGTCCTGATGTCCTGGGGTGGAGCGCTGTAGTGGATTCTAAAACTTTGGCAGACTGGCAAACTCTAAGGAGCAAAGTGGAGGCATGGGGGGAGGGGCTGCAGCTTGATGGCACAAGTTCCCAGGACCGCATTCCCAGTGGTTGAGTGCAGGAGGTCTGAGGGTGGGGCCTCAGGAGGCTGCACATTTTAGAATTCGTAGTTCACTTTCAGAAATAGTGCCAAGCCAGGCATGGTGCCACACACCTGCCATTCTAGCACTTGGTAGGAGGCTGAGGTGGGAGGATGGAGAGTTCAAGGTTTTGGCAGGTGGCCCTTGGGCTCTTGCCATGCCTGTTGCACTCCTTGCACTGTACCAAATAAACTTGTTTTGCAGAGAGAGAGAGAGAGAGAGAGAGAGAGAGAGAGAGAGAGAGAGAGAGAGAGAAATAACCAAAACCCTAATGGATGCATTGCTTATGATTTGAGCTCCAGAGAAAGGCCTTGGTCACTACCAGCTCTGTTGCCTCAGTGGCCTGGAGTAAGTCACCTACCTTCATCCCTACCCCCCACCCCCAGTACTAGGGATGGCACCTAGAGCCAAGGGCTCCACCACTGAGGAGTGCTCCTAGCTCAAGTCACACATCCTTGGTGAGTCTGACTTTCACCAAAGGTAAGATGAGATTCACTGCTGGAAGTTTAGCATACTGCCTGGCATGTGGAAAAGGTGAAGAAACAGTGGTATTATCAGCATATAGTGTGGACTATCAGAGTAACAGCCCCAGCCAAGCTTGACATTGGAGGTGGGAATCACTTCAGCTACATCTAGCTCTTTAACTTAAAGAGAAATGAAAGGACACAGCAAGGTCCCTGGGGAGCGCTGAGCCAGGATCCAGGTCCCCCACTGAGTTCCTCTTCCGGAGCCTGCTTAGGATTGTTGCCATCTACCCCAGCAACACTTGGCAAAAGCGCTTGTGATCATTTTCTTCAGGATGGGGAGGGCCTGGGACAGGCTGCAGCAGCTTCTTGGAGGTGGGAATTAGGCCAGGAGGACTTTGGGTCTGAGGAGAGCACACAGAGCCCCACATCACAAAAGGAAAGCTGGCTGCAGCCTACACAGGGGGAGCAAGAACCTATCCTGCAGGAACTACAAACCCAGTCCTCTGGGGCGGGGGAGGGCAGTGGGCAAACAGCAAGGTGATGGAGCTCCAGGAGTGAGGGAAAAGATATCACCAGCTATCACGGTCTGCCTTCCCTTGACCTACTTTTGATGGAGATATAGACACCAAGAAAAGCATCCTTGCCATAAGAAAACCAAAAGAATAGAGACACCAAACAGTAACTGGTGGAGCCCAGAGAGCCTGCAGCACCGAGCCAGGAGGTGACAAGAAAACACAGGTCTTGTCCTGGCTGGCTGCAGTGTAAGGGGCACTGCTTCTTCTTCCCCCAATGCCTCCCCGCGTCACCCACACTGGGGGAACAAGGGCCTATGGGGCCACAAAAGCCTATAAGGCCAGACCTTTCTAAGTCACCTGGGAAAACACAGGAAAATGAATGTATGTGAGCAACTTCCAGATTTTTAAATGCTGCCTCTAATTTTGAAAAGTACAATGTAAACACTGAGTTTAAGACGTTATTAATAGAAAGATGTTTTCTATTTAATAATATCAGAATATGTAATCCCAGATACTTGGAAGGATGATTACAAGTTTAAAACCTGCCTGGGCTACAAGGGTGAGTTCAAGATCAGTCTGAAGAACTTAGAGAGACAGTATCTCAAAATAAAAAGTGAAAAGAGGGCTAAAGGATGCAGGTCATTGGTACAACACTTGCTTGCTAGCATGTTCCAGGTCCTGAGTTCAATTCCTACTACAAAAAAGAGAGAGAGAGAGAGAAAAGAGAAGGAAGGACCCTACTATTTAAACTATGGTAAAGCACTGATGGTAAAGTGAATCCTAACTCCAAACATGTCACAGTGAGAAAAATGTACATCTTAGAATTCATGAGATATTGTCTAGCAATAGGCTGGACTTGGCCTGTGGCACATTTGTGCTGTTCCCAATGTGCACAACTGTACACAGCAGCTCTTATGATATCATCTTAGTATACTGGAGGGCTTAAGGGCCATAGAGAGGCTCATACTTGGGTCATATCTATGAGCTCTCAGGTCCCTTGAGAAAAGCTAGTCCCTTTGATTTTTATCTAAACCAGGAACAAGTGGAGACACTGAAGAGGAATATGTGGACTAGTCACCAGAGGAGCGACCAGGACCACCTAGGTGAGGGTTGCTGGGGCATACCCACAGGGATCCTGAGTCTGGCCAGACTAGGAGAATAGTCACACCCACATTTAAAGAGGTACAGAGAGGTGAAGGTACAGGCTGGACGTAGAGTGGCAGCACTGAGGTGGGCTGGAGTCCAACCCTCTGCACTCCCACCTGCAGAGTCCTCTGTAAAAATCCCTGCCTCTGGGCCTGGAGAGATGGCTTACTGGATAAGAACACTGTTCTTGCAGAAGACCTGGGTTCAAATCCCAGCACCCACATGACAGTTAACAACTGTCTGTAACTCCAGTTCCAGGGGATCTGACAGCCTCTTCTGTCCTCTGCAGGCATTGCACGACACAGGTGCACTTACCTACATGCAGGCAATTACACGCATACACATGAAATAAAAATAATAAATAAAATATATTTTAAAAAATCCCTGCCTCCAATGCAAATGAGCTGGAGACAGGGTCTCGGGGGTTGTCCTTTCCCCTGTTCATTCTCCCCAAGATTTGCCCCCAGAGAAAGCACCCCTATTTGATTCACAAGACTTTGAAAATTTTATTAGTAAAATACAAAATGGCACAGACATTGGTAATGACATTTGAAAAAGCCAAAGGCTCATCCAACTCCTTCTGAAGTCCTCCCCAGACTGTCCTGGTCTGTGTCCTGCTGGAGGGAGCCAGCAAAGTCCAGAAAGGGCACCAGCTTCCTCACACAGGGCGGGGGGTGGGGTAACCCAACCCTTGAAGGCTCCCTGCTGGAGGAGCCAGGAAAAAGTGCATTCAGGCTGCTGCTCCTCTGAACCCTCAGTGAACACCATGGGACTAGGCCTGAGCCTCCTAAGGAGCTTCCCAGGAGGGCAAGTGGCCTGGCTTCCTCACTCAGGGCCAGAAGTACCTGTTCTTCTTCTGAGCATTCACCTGCCAGGGAGTCACTGGCCCCTGGGTGAAGCCCCGCCCATGGGAGGTACCACAGGTGAAGGGCTGGGGCCAATCAGAGGAGGGCCAGGAGAACTGCCAACCAAGAGCTCTGAGGGGCAAAGCGAGGTCTGTAGGTCTAGCTCCAGCTGAGGTGCCACCCAGCCACTCCCTGCCAGGAGTGCTGGAGACTTTGGCCTTCAGAAAGGGAACCTGGGACTTTGTGCCCAGGGCAGAATTCCTTCCAGAAATGCACACAGGACTTCTGGACAATGATGTGGGAATTCCAACCCTGCCTAAAGTAGGGCAAAGGTGAAATCTTGGAATGCAGTGAACGCAGCTTTCAGAGAAGTGGAAGGGGACCCAGGTGCAGGGAAGAGCTCGGCCCTGTGTGTACCTGCCCAAGTCCCTCAAGTGTCACCAGTGTGTGGCTGCTCTAGGACCTAATTCTGGCTCCTTTGCATCCCGGGGGCTTGTCACCCACATTCCTTCCTATGTCGGTGTCTGACCCTCTTGTAGGGCCGACCTGGGGCTGTCACCTTGGTGGGTGGGAGAGAGGGTACCTAATGAGGACATGGAGGGACCTTCTAAGTTGGCCTTTGTTCCTGCAGATCCCCACCTGGCCCCTATTTGGGGACCTCAAGATAGGACCTGTATTCTTAAGTCATCCTTTGAGGACTCTGGGTCACAGGGTACAAAGATGTCTGTCCAGTGGAATGGCAGTGACTGTCAGTGCTGATAAGGGCTAGGGGCTACATCCAGGGTTGGGGACAAGGGTCTCAAGAGCAAATGGTAATGTCAGGGCCATGGGTTATTGCCATCTCTGGGCCACCTTTCTTTTCTTTCTTAGATGGGATACCTTGAGCAGGCAGTGGAGCGGAGACTAGACCCTGCCTTCAGATGCAGCATGCCTTCACTGCACAGCAAAGTCTGAGGAGGAATGCATCAAAGCTTCACGCAAGCTCATCTCCCTTCCCAGAGCTGCTCCAGGAAACATGGCGCTAACCTCATGCAAGAAAGGACATGACATAGTGTGTGTGGGGGGTTAGGGGTGCTCTGTACAGGAGACAGGGAGATATAGCACCGCAGCTGGCCAGGGGAGGAGGGACTGGCGACTGCAGCAGGACCAGGAGACATGAGGAAGTCTGAGGGATGGGCAAACGGGCCTGACCTGCTACTTGTGTGTGAGATGGAAGGACCACGGTGCTCACAGGAGGCTGGGCATTCAATAAATAATTGTTCACTAGGGCTGGGACGGTGTCAAGGGAACCTCTAACCAGCCAGCAGCAGAGGAATTTCAGGTCTAGGTGAGTTGGGAGGTTACCCACTCTGTCTCTGATAGATGGACAATGGTCACAGGTGACCTCCTGGGCCACATCTGGGGGTTTGGAGTGTATGGCTCCTGGAGGATCCAACTTCCCCATTCCCATCACTCCAGCTCAGGCTAGGCCATTAAGTGAAGGTGGGTATGAGGATGGGGGTCCTCAGGCAACTCTCTGAATCAAACCATGGACACAAGTAGGCAGACTGCTCACACTGGCACCAAGACATATGAGTTACTGCCACAACTGCGGGGGACGTAGCGGAGGCCTTCCACCATTTCCCCTGCCATCTTGCGGGGGCATCCCTGGAAGCTCTGGTAGGCAAACATGGCCACCCCCAGGCAGAAGAGGAGACCAAGGAAAGCCAGCAGCCCCACTGCCTGCCTCCGGGTGGCTGCCTGGGAGTCAGGGACAGGAGTGATAAGGACATTCAGCTTTTGGGGACCTGCAGTAGCATGGATAGGTTCCTCTACCTTGGGAGCCCAGCTGCCTGAGGTCACCAGTTCTGGGCTGGGGGTCCCTTCAGAGGAAACTGGGGCCACCGAAGGATGGGTCGTCCTACCGGGACCCCAGTTCTGGAAAGCATCAGTATGAGTTCCATTCATCTCCTCTGGACTGGGGCTCTGTCCCTGGACCCATGGGAGCTGGCCTTCAGACCCAACATTCTCTTCTGGGGTTGGATGTAAAGTGGTAGGTGCCTGGGTAGAAGGGGCTGTGGTGGAGGGAAGCTCAGTGGCCTTCTCCTCAACCCAGAGGCCAGACCCAGATTGGTAGGCAGCAGAACTCTGCCAAATGGTGGTGGAGACAGCAGCTGCCTTGAAAATCCCAGTGCCCTGAGGCCCAGCTGCAGGCCCTGCATCTTGAGTCTTGGATGTTGGGGGAGACCCAGTCCCCAAGGATCCAATCACTGCCACTGGCAACTCTTGGGAAGTCCCCATGGGCCTCTGAGCCTCCTGGGAAGAAACAGTCAGTACCGAGGCGAGACCTTCCATGGTGGCTTCAGGCTCTGCCAGTGCAGACAGAGACAGTCCCTTGGTAGCTGGAGTTGTCCTGGGTGTCACCTGGCCAACTTGCCTCTCAAACTTGCCTCCATTTTGAGTCAAGGCAGCAGCCTGGCTGTCCAGATGCTCCATGGCCTCTTGAACCCATTTCTCCTTTGGGTCAGCACAGAAGCGTCTGTGCTTTCTTGTCTCTAAGCTACAAGGAAGACAGGGACCCATTGATGATCAGATTCTATAAAATCAGGCTGGCATGGTGTGAGGTGTCACCCAGACGCCCTACCAGCAAGCTGACCTGGCTGGAAACACCATCTCCATCTCTGCTTACTAGCACAAAGCTTTGGGCTACTCCAACCCCTGTGTCTCCTACCGTTGACTGAGATAGGGAAATACAAATACCTGTGGTCTGGAGGGGAACTCATCACCCCAGAAGAACTGGAGCAGTGGGCATTCTCAGCATGAGGGACTTCCCCTTTCAAAACCAGTCAAGTCCCAGGCAAATGGGGACCCTACTTCTGTTACCATTAAGAAAACAAGTTATCTAGAGAAAATGACTGGGTCAGGGCAAGAGCTGAAAGAGCTGGAGATAACGACAGGGTTAACAAACACATTGCCACTACCCAGGGAAGGGGCTCTGATCTCTTGGTTGGGAGTGGATGTTGCATGTCTTTTCTGATACCAAATGTGTGACTTGGTGGGGGTCCTCTCACTCTGGAAAGACTCTGTGTCTCAAAAACCCTGCTTCACAGTGATGGCTGCCCTCTGGACCCCAACCCTCCTCTCGGTTGTGTCCTGAGACTGAATAGGCTTCTTGGAAGCCGAAGCCAGATATATGGTACCCCCACTGGGATCCCGAGTGTTATCTAAATCCAGAGCTTCCCTCGAGACTGTGTGGTGGCTTCACCCCTATGACAGCACACTGCTGATCAGGGCTCTTCCTTCATGCCATAGCCTGTGTGGGCCACACCCAGTCTGCACTGGGGCCACCATTCTACCCCCATTTTACAGGTGGGGAGATAAGGCTGCCAAGTAAGGAAGTGTGCCTGACTGAGGTATACTGGGAAGCCAGAGTGACTCTATAGCACTCCCCAGGGCACCTTCTTCCACTTCCCACTTCCCCTAGAAGACTGAAGCAAATATTTGGGATTTGGAAGATGGAATCCTTGATGGGGGAAATAGAGAGGGCAGGCAGGAGTACATTCCAAACTTCTTGCCTTGTAGGAACTCTGCAAGGGAGAGGAAGGGCTGGACATCAGTTAGCAGAACCCGCATTGCAAAGAGCACTGGCCATTTCCTGCATGGCCGAGGCTGCTCAGTGGGCATCAATCCTGGGGAAGGGCCTTAGGGACGGGCAAATGGGAAGTACTCACCATGGGCCCCAGGAAGAACAAGGGGCCAAACGGACCAGGCAGAAAGTGATCAGGCAGAAAGTGGTTGGGCCTATTCCCTGCCCAGAGGCTCTGAGGGCCCTGTGGGCAAATGGGAAGTACCCACCATGGGCCCCAGGAAGAACAAGGGGCCAAACGGACCAGGCAGAAAGTGGTTGGGCCTATTCCCTGCCCAGAGGCTCTGAGGGCCCTGTCTCCTTATCTGTCACTTGGTGACAGCCATCCCCCTTGTGTCTTCTAGGTGCTCAACCAACAACATTAGTATCACCATCTTCTCTCACCCTCCCACTACCCATCTTCTAGATAAGAAAACTGAGGTGTAGAGGGTTTGCAGTAACCAAGGCCCTTGGCCAACCTGCTGGAATCCACTCTGGGAATCCATCACATTCAGCCTCCCCTTGGAATATAGTGGGCCCTGAGGGTTGTGTGAACAACACTTTGGCCTGTGAGGAAGCATTGCCCTGGACCATTCTGGGCCATGCCAGAAGCCATTCCCACCTCTTCCATGTGTCACTGATCTTAAGGTCAGAGAAGTGGCCGGCATGCCAGGAACAAGTGGGCACATGCCCAGGCCTTTGGCAGGGAGGCCAGGGTGAGGTGGGCAGGAGACGCCAAGACTGCAATACCTACATGATGGTGCGCTTGCCACAGGACTCCTGGTTCAGCTGATAGTGGATGAGCAAAGACAGTGGGATCTGTGAGGTCATCTTGTGGCAGGTGTTGTTGCATTTCATCACACCGAGGTGCTGTCCTGAGTACACAAAGGTCTCTGGTCAACAGGGCTATCCCTGGGCATCTGGTGTCCCATCCCCATTTCAGCTTTTCACAGCCACATCCCCCAGGCCAGAGCCCAAGTCCCACATCCCTAACACAGCCCCTGACAACCTGCAGGATAGCATATTCTCTGCCTCCAGCATTGTTTTAGACTGATAAAAATGAACTCTTGTTTATAAAGTTCCATTTGCCTGGCATTTAAGAAGTGTTTAATCTTTCAAATGTAAAGGCAGCAGGGGAGATGAGTCAGTGACACAGATCTGCCTGTGGTCACCTGGCCAGCATGTGATGGAGTGACCATCACATCACCAGGCCCATTCCTATCCTTCTGGCCTATGGCTCCACCTGTCTCCATCCCTGCCTTTAACCCAATAAGTCACTTACCCAGCCATAAACCCATGTGTGCACCCCACTCCTCCTCATACATGTGACCAGGCACATGGAAGAGGTAAATCACTATGTTAAACAGAGAAGTTTAGCTGCCTTGGAAGAAGGGGGTTTGCTGAATAGATGCCCCTGTATTCTGCAGAAGGAGTTTGAGATGAAGAAAGATGGGAGCCCTAGAATCAGGAGGATGCGTGGAGTCAGAGTAGGAAGAATAGGGGAATAAATGGGGTGTGCAGATGGCTAGGTAGCAGAAACTCTAGGGCAGAGGTTTCTGTGACTGGCTGAATCCAGTTATTTGATAAAAACATTTAACAATCTTTGTACTCCCTTTCCATCTCTCCTCTGCCATAAATCTCCAGCAGGGTGTCGTGTTGTTTGCTTAGTATACACTCATGGAAAATAGATGTAAAAACTGAGGAAGAAGCACCAGGCATGGTGGCACACGGCTTTAATCCCAGCACTCAGGAGGCAGAAGCAGGCAGATCTCTGTGAGTTTGAGGCCAGCCTAGGGGCTACAGAAAGACCCTGTCTCAAAAAAAAAAAGAGGAAGAGCTTGAGTTTCAGAGTCAAGGCTACATCCAACATCTAGAATCTAGAGCTCCCCAGACAGTAGTATGGCATGACCAAGCTGATCTGACCTAGTCTTTAGGGCCCAGAAGCCTAGCTGCTCCCTGGTTCCCACCAGAACACACTGCATATGCACAGACACACACATATGGACCAGTAAACACTCCATCTTTCCAAGACTGGACCCAGGAGGCTGGAGATTCTCTCAGCCTTGGTATGTGTGATTGCTTGGTATATATAAGACTAGTTGTCCATACCACAACCCCCCACCCCCCAAAAAGAACTAACCAAATGTGAGTACATACTCAGATGTCCTAGCCAACTCCTCTCCCAATCATCCCCTGGCCATGGGCCACCCCACTTTGTGGAAAGGGAAGCTTAGGCTTCAGGTCTGAGTTGAGTCCCCAGTGGTCAGCATTAGTAGCTCCTGAACTCACTGGGTCACAAGGATATCCTCTCTCTTCTAGAAATTAGGATATGAAAGTCACAGTATAGGTTGGGTAGATGGCTCACTAAGTAAAGTATTTTCCACAAGCTTAAGGACCTGGGTTCAATCCCCTGAACCCACATAAAAATCCAGGCACAGTGGCTTGTGCTTAAAATCCCCAGCACTGGAGTGGCAGAGACAGGTGGATCCTTGGGGTTTACTAGCCAGCCAGGCTAGACTAATCAGTGAGCTCTGGCCCAGTGAGAGACTGTCTCAAAAGCAAGATGGACATATCCTGAGGAATGACACCCAAGATTGGGCCCTGGGTTCCACACATGCACACACATACAGCTCCCCGTGCCCCCCCACACATACCAAAAAAAAAAAAAGTTACAGTACAGACTTGTCACCTTCCTCCATCTCCAGTGGGACCTAAGAATAACTCAGCTGAAGTTCCCCACTCCAGACCCTGGTAACAGTCGCCTGGTGACCATCCTGCATGGATATGGCAGATGTCTTCCTGGAGAAGTCCCAAGATGAACTGAGATAGGAGGGGAAAAAGAAGGCTGGGCCACTACCACTTGCAGAGCTGTGTAGAGCCACAAAGTCAGTTGCTGCTACTGGCCTCAAAGTTCTTGACTAGGCTCAGCACTCTGTTCTGCCAAAATATCTGTGTCACTAACCAGGGGGTGGGTTGAAGTTCTCTTTTTTGAAAAGAGGGCAATGTCTCCATGTAGTCAGTCATCTATTGTCCGTCAGAGGAGTCAGGGGAGCAGAGACTGCATCGTGTCTACATTAGTGCCACAGTGTATCTCAGCTGGGTGCTGGGTACCCAACATGGGTACTCAGTAAATATTCATAATATGAAATGTTTCAACCTACTTATTTATGTCTCCTTTGGACACATCCACTCACCTACCCATCCATCCATTCACCTATTTACCCATCCATCCACTCATCCATCCACCCCTCCATGCATCCATTTATCCATTTATTCATCCATCCATCTCTGTGTGCATCCACCCATCTATCTACCCACCCACCCATACATCCATCATTCACCCATCTACTCACCCATGCATCTGCCCATTTTCCTACCCTCCTACTCACCTTCTACTTAGCTATCTCCCACTTATTTCCTACTCATCCCTATCTGTCCTTTTACCCACTCTACCCACCTATCACCTGTCCATCTGTTGCCCCTTCAAAATCTCACTCACTCATCAGTTTCATTTCACCCACCACCTGTCACCATCCTTCATCCATCCATCCATCCATCCATCCATCCATCCATCCATCCATCCATCCATCCCCTGACTCCACCAGCACAGACTTGGATTACTTCCAACTACAGAGACTTGCATCCTCTTGTCTTTAAGCCTGAGCTCTTTTCAGATGCTGGTGACATTTGTAGGGAGCACTTCAGTACCAATAAATGTTATCAGATCACTGTTTCTTCAGGCAACCAAAAGAGCTGGCTCCTCCCTCTTGCCAGGACCTATGCTAGGTGCTGTGAGGTGTAGGGGGTGAACAAGGCCTGTGTCTCCTTCAGAAGGGTCCCAGTGCTACAGGCAGGTAAAACACTAATAACAAGGAAGAAAGCTTCTTTGCTGAGCACTTACTGTGTATCAGATACTGTGTTTAGCACATATACTTCTGCTCTTATTAACCCCTAACCCCCTACAACCTCCTTGTTTTACAGATGCAGAAGCTGAAGATCAGGAAGGTTAGGCCACTTCCCAGGGCCACACAGTCTACTTAGTGGCTCTCTACCCAGTCCCGAGACATTACAGTGGTCTCAGCTGCATAGATCCTGGTAAAACACCATGTTCTAGAATATACATAAACATACTGGGATTTACATGAACAAGAGACAGCTTTCAAGTGTGAGTGAGGAGGGGAGGCTTCCTGGAGGGCTTCCACTTTAGACTGGCCCTCAATGATGGCTAAGACACACAGGGTCCTGGGTGCAGTGATAGGGCTTGAGCCTTTGCTCAGCTGGGACCTGACTGAGTTGCTTAGACTCTTAAAACTTCAATTTCCTTGCCTTTAAAATGAACATGATAGTACCTGTTTCACAGAGTGGCTAGAGACTAGACATCTTTTAATGGTTGGTGCATTCTGTCCTTGGGCAGCTTTTCTCAATGGTGACACTACTGACATTTTGGACAGTGCTAGGCACTGTGGAGTATGTAGCTGCATCCTTGGCTCCACCTACCAGAAGCCAGGAACATCCCTGAATTGAAAATATTTAGGCCTTTGTAATAATCAAAAATGTCTCCAGAAATTGCCAAATATCACCTGGGAGGACTACAGCCCTAAAGAAATCTCAACCTCCCTCAAAGAGGCAAATGCTGCCTGCCTCTTACAGATAATGTCAACGTGCCAGACATGGCTGAGCACATTTCCTATCCCAGCCCTCTCCCAGGTGGCTGACAGGAAGATCATTAGTTCAAATCCAGCCTGGGCTACATGGCAAGACCTTGTCTCAAAAATAAAACACCAAACAAACAACCCAAGTTGACTCCTTCCTTCTCCTCCCCGCTTCTCCCCATCTTCTCCCCTCCCCCTCTCCCCGCAGTGTCTTTTCCCTTCTAATAGGCCAAATGGCTTATTTACTTGTCTGTCCTCTGCAGTCGAATCTCAGCACCCTGAAAGCTGGGTTCTTCGGCCCCTTTATTCACTGCTGTGGCCCCAGCACCCAGGAGTGTGCTTGTCCCACAGCAGGTGTCCTGCACATCTTTGTCAAATGAATGGACGGGATGTATTGAAAGTGCTTTGTGACATAAAATCTTAACCAACGAAGAAGTGAAGCAGCTTTTTTATTCAAAGCCCAAAGGGTCCTGGATCTGACACTGAAGCTGTCTGCCCCTGCCCCTCTTACGACCCCACTGCCAATGGGTGGGGGAGGGGGGCTGTACCAGCTGAAAACAGATTTTTTTTTTTCTTTCTCTTTCTTGCTGAGACTTGAGTGGGAGGGACTGCGTCAGTGCTGGGGAGAAATGGTCCCTGCTCTAACTTGCATCTGCAGGATTGTTACATAAAGCATCAAGCCACCGCCTGACAAAGCCCTGCAGACCCACATTTGGGAACTGACGCAGCTGCCCTGAAACCACACACCAGGCCGCAGTAGCCCTGAAGACAGAGCCCCCACTGCGGGCTACCTCCAGGTCAGGCCTTCTTGAATGCCTCATCCAAGAGAAGGAGAAAGTGAGGCTCAGGAGGGTTGGCAGGGAGCCCAGCATCTCCCTGCAAAGCCACTGATCACAATCAGGGTCCTCAGATCTCAAGCTAACAGATCATCCAGGGTTCCCTTACCAGCCTATCCTAAGATTTCGCCATCCTTCCACCAGCTTCATAAAAATGATACTCCCCCCAACACCTTAAGAAAACTAAACCTCCCTAGACACTGGAGTGTTCTCATTAATGAGGCATTAGCTACACTGAAAGGTACAGCAACTGGGACCAGAGAAAGTAAGACCCAGTCCATGGACCTACAGCGAGGAGACAGCAAAACATCCTCTATCTGACTTTACCTCCTGGTGTTCACTGTCCCCAAACACCCCAGGCCCTGCCGTGCTCAGATAGCAAAAAACCAACAGCAATTTTCTTCTACCTCCCCCACTCCCCACCCACTCACCCTCCAGCTCCCTGTTACACTGGTGATTTGGTTCCATGGAGATATGGGAGGGGGGTTGGTTCTCATTCTCCCAGTTTCACTGTGTGCCTTAAGGCAAAATATCACCTTCTCTGATTATCAACCTCCCCAAAGATGGGGCTAGCTCTAGTTAGTGGAGGTGGGGTGGTCCAAAGTGGGACCAAAGTGTTGGCTTCTCCTGATCTAGTCCCTGGGGCATCACCCTGCCCTACCCTGCATGCTGGTTGAGCATCCTCAGACTGGTCCCTAACCCTCTCTGTGTCTCCATCTTACCCATGCCCCTAGGAATGTCTGCTCTTTATCCTATTCCAGAAGGCAAGTCAGTGGAGATTAAACATTCCCAAAAATGGGCTTGGAGGAGGCTGCCAGGGAGATGCAGGAGACAGGTAGAGACACAAGGTGCATGCAGAACAGCAGTAACAAGCCCCGTCTATGAGCTGCAGCGACCTTGACCTTCACTCCTCCAGGGGGCCTTAATATGGGGGCAGAAGAAAGTCCTGACTGCCCCCTGGGCCTGGGCCAGGGCTTACAGGTTACAGTCAACCCGGATGGAAGACCCAGCCCACTGACGCCAGTCAGGAGTCTCAGGCTTCCCCCAGCCCTCAGCCTCTTCCCCACAGGTCTTGTGTCCCCCACAGATCCTCCGAGCTGTCCCACGGCAGCCAAGGGGCTCACTGGGCCTGGCAGGGACAGTCACTGGGGCAGATTTCCCCAGGAAGGGGTAGTCTGCATCCCAACACACACCTTCCTTACAGAGTCTGGCCCCACTCACCAGCCAACAGGGCGCACAGATGGCAGAACGCGGCCAGACGCAGCAGCCACGAGAGCGGCGAGGGAGCCATGGCTGGGGGCACCGGGGTCCTCCTGGCAGGGCAGGGGGCTGGGCCGCGTAGCAGCTCTGGGCTGTCCCTCCGCCGCCTGGCTCGGTGGCTCTTTATAATGGGCTCGCAGCCTCCGCCCCCCGGCGGAGGGAGGGGAGAAGAAGAGCCAGTGGCTGCCACTGGATTCCTCTGAGGTTGCCAAGGAACCAGCGAGGCGCTGCGCTCCAGCGCTCGGATCAACTTTGGGAGGGGCGCAGTGGGAACCTGGGAGGCCACTGGGCCACCTTCCCCCAAGAACCTGCACATTCCTAGGTTTGGCTGGGAGAGTGCCTAAGTGAACAAATACCCAGGGACAGCAGGGGAGGCACACAGAGAGCAAGGCCCCAGCGGCCCTGGTCTGCCAAGCTCTTTCTTGGTCTGAGGGATAGGTGGGAGAGGTCTCTCACACAGCGTGATGAAGACCCCCCAACCTTCACCTTCTGAAACCTCCCAGGTACCTTGTTTGCCAATGCATCTGCTGAGCCCAGCACCGAGCCTGTAAACAGGATTTGCTTAAAGAATGATCCAGTTCTGCTTCCTATGGGGAAACTGAGGCTCAGAGAGGGGACTGGAACCATTCTAGGTTATATCGATCTTCACCATGGTGTATCAACTTATCACGGCCATAGAGGAGAGGACTGCAGAATCAGGGACAGCCTAGGACGTGGAGGCTACCCGGGCCGCCAGTGCCGAGGACTCCTTGGTTGCTCTGTGCCCACTCTAGTCTCCGCTTTGCCTCCTGCCAGCTCCGGGAGCAGCAGAGCCACCAAACTATCCTGGGAACTGTGGGCATCTTGGCTGTCCCTTGACCCTGCTGCAGAGCCCTGGAGAACTCTTAGCTCTCATCAGGGTAGCTCTGCTTCTGTACAAGGAGAGAGTCTAGCAAATCCAGCTTCCAGCTCTGATCTTCCAGAAGCTTCCCTGCTGAGACCAAACAAGACCAAGCCGCGGGCCTTGGGCACTATACACAGTTGCTTTCCTTCCTTGAAGACAGGGAGGGATATTTCTGGGAGTTAAAACTCTCAGCTGGGAGCCTCCCCCAGCCTTGGGGCCCCGAAGTGAACTGTACTACTCTCTGGGCACCAGCCAGACAGAAAAACCAGTTTGTCTGGAAAGTATCCCAGGCTCTGGAGCTAACTGGTCCAGATCTGGCTGTGCAGAGGGGTAGCTGCCCCATCAGAGGACCTCCTGTTTTCTCCTGCCACCCCCAAGCAGAGCTGGCACCTAGGGTGGGGGTTGGGAGACTGAATACTCATGGGGCAGGGGCTCACTTGGCAGGGGCTAAAGTCTACTGGGGCCCAGAGAACCTGCCCCAGCTTGGGCAGATAAGAAGCTAGGAAGCCTCGTTTTACAACTGAAGAGCCTTAGGCCCAGAGAGAGACAAGGAGTGATTAAAAATGGAGGTCCAGGCAGGGGATGGTGGTTCACACCTGTAATTTCATCACCCATGCGGCTGAGGAAAGAGGAATGCCTGAGGTTCAAGGCTAGCCTGGGCTACACAGTGAGTTCCAAGTCAGTCTGGGCTACAGTCTGAGACTTGTTGCAAACAAAACCAAGAAACAGACATCTAGGATTTGTAGTGTTTTGCCATGTGAAAGCAGAAGAAAGAGGAGAGCTGGGAAAGAGGAGAAAGGGGAGAGGGAAGGAAGAGAAGGACGGGGAGGAGGAAAGAAGGCGGGAAGCCAAGGATTACCCTGGGAAGCCAAGCTGTACATTTTCAAAGGACCAAGATTTAGGAATACAGACCTACCTCTCCTGACCAGAAATTATGTTCAGGGCGAAGTCGGGGAGTGAGGATGGGGGCAAGCCTGGCTCTGGAGCTAGCTCTATGCGATGTTTGACTTCTGTAAAATCAGGAAGTATGCACTGCCTTGCACTTACAAGGCACAATTTAATAAAATTTTTCACAGGGCTGGAAATATAACTCAGTAGTACAGCACTGGCCTGGACTGTATTCCCAACACCACAAAACAAAATTTCTTCAAGGTTTTCCACAATGAACTTGTATAGTCATCATAACAAACCAAGGGTATAAAGCAAATATTCTCTTGGTCTTATGGATGGGGGAGCTAAAAATCACCAGGTAGGAAGTGAAGAAGCCGGGGTCAGGCCAGCTGGTTGGCTCTGGGATCTGAGACTTCACCCCACCACAAGCCCCAAATGACAAGCAAGTGTCAGAATACCCACACAGTAGGTGAGAAGACACAAAGACAGCTTTGCTCTACCTTTTCCAGTCTCAGTGACATACCTTGCTCACCCTGGGCCAGCTTCTCTTCTACAAATGGTTGCCCCCATCCATCTCATCAGGGTATCAAGGATTAACTGTGGAGATGCAATTTGGACACAGCAGTCAGACTTCCAGGCCCCTGAACCCTGTATAAACACAACTCTGCTACTCCTATGAATGCCACTTGGGTAGGTTACTTAGACCCTGTCTGTACTGCAGCTCTGCATCTGTAAAACAGAGTGCTAATGGCCGCCTCAGCAACTGCAATCCCAGTTCTTGGGAGGTGGAGGCAGGAGGATCAGCAAGTCCCTGGGGAGTGAATAAAACTAAGGACTTTCTTGGTGCCTGACACAAAAGAATGATTATTTGTATTTATAAAGCTCTGGTGCATGCCTGTCTGTGCAGGACAAAGGAACCCCGGGCCAAATAAGCCAAAGTCTTTGTCCCCAAAGAGCCCCAGCTCAGTAGCAAGAGGATGATTCAAAGCTTCTCAGGGACGCTCAGGCTGTGGGGCTAAGGCAGGAAACAAGAATAGTAAGTTGGAGGTCTAGTTTAATATTAGAGAATTCGATTAGCATGTGTGGGGCCCGGGGTTCCATCCCCAGAACTGCAAAACTAAATAAATACAAAAGAAAGAAAGGAAAGGTGTAAGGGAGAGAGGGGATGTGGCTCAGTTGGTAGAGTGCGTGCCAAACTAGTTAAAAGCCCTGGGTCCATCCCCAGCACTGCATAAAACTAGGTGTGGTGGCTCACACCTGTAATCCTAGCTCTTGGGAGGTGGGGGCAGGAGGATCAGAAGTTCAAGGTCAGCCAGGCATGCTGGCGCACTTATTTGATCCCAACACTTGAGAGGCAGAAGCAGGCAGATCTCTTTGAGTTTGAGGCTTACGTGATCTACATAGCGAGTTCCAGGCCAGCTGAAGCTACAGGGAGACCCTGTCTCAAAAACAAAACAAACCAACAGAAAGTTCAAGATCATCTTTAACTACACAGCCTGGGATATATGAAGCAATTCTCAAAAAATGAAAAAGAAAAAAAAGGAAGGAAGGAAAGAGGGATAATTTCTCAGCCCAAAATAAGCAAAGGGAATTTGGCTCCTTAACATTTCATATTTCAACTTCTAAGTTTCATATTTGCTCCATCTTTTTTTTTCTTGGCCAAACTATTCCTAATTAAATTCTGACTGCTTGGCACTTTGCTCCTGATAGCCCAGCATGCACTTCCATTTTATTTCATAAATATGACACAACCATAATTGTCTCACTAACAAAATTAACAGGAACTTCTATATGATATCTAACACCCTTTGAAATTCAAATTTGTCCCCAAATGTGTCTTCCTTTCTCCTTCCCTGCCTCTTCTCTTGTTTTCTTTTTTGGTCATTTGTTTATTTCTGTATCTCTCTCTCTCTCTCTCTGCTCCACAGTCTTCTGCAAGAGCTTCAGACTCTCTTAACTGCTGAGCTATCTCTCCAGCACCCCTCTTTTTCTTTCTTTCCTTCTTCTATTCCTTGTTATCACCTCCTGCCCCAGTTTCTTTCTGCCACAGGGTCTCCTTCCTATGTAGTCCAAGCTGGTCCTGAACTCATGATCCTCCTGCCTCCTTCTCCCCAGTACTGGAATTACAGGTTTGTGTCACTGTGAACCTGCAGTTATTGCTTTTACGTCTGGAATTGGGCTACTATCTAGGTTTCTGCATTATTATAGTTATTTTCTTTTAGACTTTAGAGACCATCTGTATTGTTTTTTCACAACATTGACCTTTCAGAGTCAGTGCGATTGCCTTATACAGCATTCTCATCCTAGTTTATCTGGTTATTTCCTTATGAGTCATCTGATTTGTTCCCTATCCTATGTGCTTCCTGTAAAACAGAACTTTGACCAGAAAGCTGGATTAGACCCAGGCTACACATTCTTGGCAAGACGGTAGTATGAGTAATAAAGTGAGGCTCACGTGGGTAGGAGATTCGCTTTTCTGTTTGATGGAATTGACGGATTGGTAGGTGAACGAATCAACTCTTCCAATGTAGAAGTGTTAATGGCCTTGTGACTCACAAACTTTTGGGTAACACACTGGCCCAGCAATATGCACAAAGGCAGGTCTGTTTGTTCTTTCATTTGATTTTTCTCCTTGTGTAGCCAGGCTGGTCTAGAACTCACTATATAATTCAGGCTGGCCTCAAGCTTGAGATCCCTCTGCCTGTACTTCCCAAGTGCAACTTCTCAGACTTACAGTGTTCTAACCAGCCAACCTTCTAGTCCAGGGAAGAACCTAATAAAGATGAAGGCATAGGTCTCCTTCATGACAAGGGGAAGGTCCCTGCCAATGGCTCGGAGAACGGGGCACCAGGAAGGCTGTAGTTGGAACGGAGTTGAGTGGTGACCAAAGGCAAAGAAGAGCTGTGAACAACATCTCTGAGCTGAGGGATGACTGGAGAAACAGTTTAAAGTTGGGCATCATGGGGAGGGTAGCAGGAAGGAGGGGATCCTCTAGGGCAATGGGAGGTTACTCTAAGACCATTTAGGGGTTACGACCTGGCCAGACTCCCCCATATTCCTCCCATTTCATTCCATCTAGCCTTGTGGTTGCAAGGGCGTGGCTATGCGCCCATCTCTTCCTTCTTCCAACTCCGCCCATCGCCTTGTCTGTTCAATCAGGAGGCTGTTTGGTATTTAGCATTGCTTCTATTGAGTGCATCCCTATGATGAGCCCAAGCCTGACTTCATCTTCTTATACTTATTTTCATTTTGTTTATTTATCTATTTGGAGATGTCCTAAAATGTGCATTTTAAAATATTTATCTATTACTTTGTTTTATATGTATGTGTATTGCCTGCATGTATGTAAGTGCACCCAGGTCATATAG